GACAGGGTCTCACTATGTAGCCCTGGCTGGCCTGGAGCTTACTGTGTAGACCAGGCTGTCCTGGAACTCTTAGAAGCCTGCCTCTGCCCCTGCCCCTGCCTCCAGAGTGTGGGGATATATTTAATGTGTGCACTACCACACCTGGCCCTTCATTAGGTTCTTTTTGAATTACTGGCTAATTAAAAGTGGGGCTAAGGCCTGCCATGTCTTAAATGAAGTGAAAGAATGGACTTGCTTACCTAAAAATTCTTTTGAGGGGATTGAAGGATAAGACAGGGTCTTGTTAGGAAGCTCAAGCTGGTTTCCAACTCACTATATAGTTTAGGTCGGCCTCAAACTTGTGGTAATTCTCTTGCCTCAAAGGTCTCCCCAGTGCTGGGAATACAGATGTGCACTACCATAACCAGCCCCCTAGGGAGTGTGTGTGTGCACGCATGTGTGCAGATGCCCTTGGAGGCCAGAAAAGTATGTCGGATCCTAAATAAAGCTGGAGTACAGGCTGTTGAGAGCTACCACGGGGTGCTGGGACCTGAACTCCAGTTCTCTGGAAAAGCAGCAAGGGCCCTTAACCGCTGAGCCATCTCTCCAGCCCCCAGCCCTAGGAATTCTTGAAGACACCAAGTGGGAAGATTTCTGATACTTTTGGGTCAGGATAATGTGAAAGGTATTATCCATGTTTCTATACTTGTACTTTCCCCCTTCTTCCCCCACCTCTATTTCCCTTCCAAGTTATCAACATGTTTCTGTTCAAATCAGGGCTGTAATCTAAGCTGGGAAATGGAACTTGGTTTGAAAGGAAAAATCACCTCAATTCTGTAAGGAAATACTTACAAATTATTACCTACAAAATAAAACATACCTTTTAGATCTCCCTCTGATTTTTCCACCATATTTCTTTGGTTCAGGATCCTGAGAAGAGGCCAAGGAAGACTCCACACAAGATTTAATTTCACAGTTCATTTTGTCACAGTTTCTTTCTTTATGTGGTACACCACCAGATTCAGATAAATACCTGAAAGTCCTACGGGGTTTTGGCAAAGGATTTATAGAAGGTCCACATTCTTGGCCCTCCGGTTCACAATAAATATTTTCTAAGCTCTTGGTTATTCCATAAGCACTATCCAGAACTCTGAAATTTGGTTCTTTGTCTGTAGAATCATAATGTTCTAAAGTCAAATTTAAGACTTTATCTGGGTTAAGGGCTTCTATTTTTTCCCACAGTATCTGTGAGGTATAGAAGTTTCCTGGAGGTAATGAAGTCTCTGGATCTAAAGCAACTTCTTTCCAGCTTTCGATCTGTTTGACCCGAGAGCACACCCAGCTGGATTCTGACTCATGTTTGAATGGGCAGGGATCTTTACTCTCATGCTTTTCACTTTCATCCTCACTTTGATCACGGCTTTTGGCATCTGTGTTCCTACATGAACCTCCATTCTGAGAACTGGTTACATCCAGTGATTTGCTCTTTTCCTGACTAGTGGGATTTTTATTAGGAAAAGCCTCTTGGTGACAATTATTATATCTCACTCCAAAGTCCTTTGGGTGCCACTTAGCTGGGTTAGAGATGCCATTAGTCCTTCCTTCCCACTGGGAGATCTTTTGTTTGATGTTTTTACAGTGGCTTCGTGACAGTGTCTGTACAGCAGAACGAGTGAAACCAACATCCATATTCCCAGTTGGGTGCATGACAGGCGAAGAAGCTTAGAAAGGTTCCATTACAAGCTAACTGTGAAATGCTCAATACTTCATCTTGTCATCACGGAAGTGACCCCAGTATTTTCTGTTCATGTTTAACTTGGAGATATCATTTTTTTAAAACAACAATTTTGATCACTGATCCTCACTGAAAATGGGTACAACCTTATCTCAAATAATCCTGTCAAAATGAGAAAGAATGTTAAGCAAAGTTTTATGATTTCTTAAACTCTACTGAAAGCTGCCCACCTAGTGAAACATAATTTATATTCACACACAGAAAAATGTGCCTCTAATGCAATTCCAGGAAGCCATTTCTAACAGGGATGTAACAACACTGGGAGACTATTACCGGAGATCATTTCTCAAGTTGCCAGCTTTAGTATTCTGCTATAATTAATGCTTTGGTTAGACAGAGTAAGGTTTTATGGGAGATTACATAGAGTAGTGTACAATGTTATTTTGTAATAAATCAATTTGAGCCTGTGATGAGGATTGTTTCCCACTCATGTTCGAGTTTCCCAACCATGAGATGACTCCACGTGCACTACCATCTGAGGCTGGCAATAAAATAAATTTATGTGATATGCACATAAATAAATTAATTAAATTAAATAAATAAATGTGTGTGTGTGTGTGTGTGTGTGTGTGTGTGTGTGTGTTTTGCTGGGGGAAAGAACCCAGAGCTAAGAAAGCACTCTATCACTGAGCTAGACCTCCAGTTCATAAATCCATTCTTCATGAAATCTTCTCTTAATGATCAAGGACCAATGGAATAGTTTTGGGCCAGTCGGAGTTACATAGTGAGACCGTGTTTCAACCCTTCCCCTGCCCTCACCTCAAAATGTAATAACCTGTGTTTCAGTAACTGAGCTTCTCACACCTCTGCAACCCCACCCTTGGCCCAAAATGGCTAAAGCACAGTCACCTTCACATTCCTCCCTTTTATACAGGCATCACTCAATTAGGTTCATAAACTGTTTCCTCAAATGTGAAGAATTTGGCAGAAAACTTTTCCTGCCACTGAGCAAGAGATTTGCTCTCAAGTTTTACTGCATCCTGGTTATAAATAGCAATCAATGCAAAACTTCCTGAGGTAGGGTCATCCTTCCTCCAGCTTTGTCTGTGTGGTCCTGATTAACAAGCAGGAAAATAGCTTAGCCCAGCTCTCTCAGTACAGCTGATCCACACTGATATGCACATGCACACCCACCACACCCACCACACCCACACACACACACACACACACACACACACACCAGTTTATTCTTGGCAGAGAAGCTGCTCTTCAGGTCTTACACGGTTTTCATTTAAACCATGTCCAAAACTTTTGTTTTGTTTTGTTTTTGTTTTAGTTTTTACATCCACAAGTTTGAAAAATCATTTTTACTACTACATGTTAATTGTATGAGGAAGATTCATTAAGATGCTTCCATAGATGCTTATAGTATTCTGACATGCTCACCCGCTCTGTTCTTTCTTATTCACTCTCCAAGAGCCCCTTTATGCCCTTTCCCCATTTTAGAGTCATGTCTTCCCTCCCTCCTTCCACATGAAGGAAATCATGTGATGTTTGTCTTTGGGGGCATTCTCACAGGTTTGCAAGAAAACCAGCTTTGCCAGAATAGAAACTCTAATGCAAGGAGAATCATTCTATAAAGACTTAAGAAATTAAACTCATGTCAGTGAGAAAAATCGTAACCAAACCTCAGAGAACTGATTTGTTTTTATGTGTTTTGGGTTTTTGTTGTTGTTGTTTGTTTTCTTGACATGGTTTTATTCTAGAGTCCAGACTCGCCTCAAACTAGCAGCAATTCTCCTGCCTCGGCCTCCAGAATGCTGAATTGTAGGCATGAGCCACCAATCCCAGCAGAAACGCTTAATAAACACTAATACTAGGACATAATGAGCCATTCAGCTGCTTTTGACCATTAAAACTAAAAATCCTTTTCTTCCTTTTGATACTTGTAGGGAATTGCTGGGGAAATGGGTTTTCTTCACTGTAGACAAGATGAGAGTTGTTTTTCCTGGCATCTGAGAGGCTCCTAGCAGTTTCCACCCTTTTTAATAACCCTACTTCCTCTTTTCCCTGATTAACATGTCAGTGTGAATGGGTCAAACTGAGAAAAAAAAAAGTGAAATTTTTCAAGGCTACAAACATTTTTTATGCCTGAAATTTTAGCTGGCAATAAATGACTGAATCTATACACCCAGATATAAAGGATGTACCCAGTGTTCAAGTGGCAACAGTATAGCATAGCAACAGTAGACAAATTTCAGTTGTACTCACTGTATGCACAAACACATTATAGCTTCCAGAAAATGAATCAACTACTTCAAAAATAAGCCAGGCATGAAGACACAATGCACATAATCCCAGGACTGAGGCTGAGGAAGGATTGTGAGTTTGAGGCCAGCCTGAGCTGTAAAGAGAGATCCTGTCTCAAAATAAAAACCACAAAAATGTTTTGATGCTTTTTAACTAAATCTATGACTGCACTGATAACACACACACAAAAAAAAATCTCTTTATAGCTGATCTCACAATTCCAATTTTTTTTTTTTTTTTTTTACTGAACTAAGGTTTTTGTTTTTGAGTTCAGGCCCAAGCTGGCCTGAACTGGGATTGAAGGTACTAGCCACCATGTCCAGCTTCCAAATGGATTCATTCCTTTTATAACAGGAGGTGCCTATTCTCACATACAGGTTTTATTATGATCCCACTCAAAAAATAACTCACAGGCCAGGCGTGGTGGCCCACAACTTTAATCCCAGCACTGGGGACACAGAGGCAGGCGGATTTCTATGAGATCTAAGCCATCCTACACAGTCGGTTCCAGACCAGCTGGGGCTACAGGGAGACTTTGTCTCAAAACAATAATAACAACAACAACAAACCTAGAAAAAAATTCACTTGTCAAGCAAAAGTTGCCTCAGACATATCATATTCTGAGCTATCGTCTCCCTCACACCTTTTTCTGTCTCTCCTAGCCTACAAGAACTTTCAAACCCTGATCCTAATCCTGTCTTGACTTCCACTATGGATAGATACTTTATCTGCTAAATCATGGCTCAGTTTTCAAGGTCTCTTTCAACCTCCTCCTCTTTCTACCCTCCTCTTCTTCCTCCTCCCCTTCTTCTTCCTCCTCCTCTTCCCTCTCTTCTTCCTCCTTATTTTCTTTTTCTTTTTTGAGACAGAGTCTCTCTGTTGCCCCAGTTGGCCTGGAATTCACTATGTAAACCAGGATGGCCTCGATCTCACTGAGATCTACCTGCCTCTGCCTCCCAAGTAACCACCTTTTTTGAAAACACTCTAAGTGTAACTAACTTATGTAGAATTCCAGATTGCTTTCTTGAGCTTGCTTTGGGAATTCTAACAGAAGCACATGCACTGAGAACATGTGACAACATTATCAGTTTAAAACTTTCTTCTCCTAATACCACCAAAGGAATCAACAACTTCTATAGCTGTCAAAGACTACTGAAGTCAGGTAGGACCCACAGAGAGAAGGGGGAGCACATACGACCATGATGGGTGAGCTCTGCAGGAGAGCCAGTGGCAGCCATCAAGAGAACAGAAAGGAATACAAATACACAAAAGTCAAGCACTTCTCTAAAAACACAGAACAGAATGTTTGGGGGGGATTTTAAATCGGGCTCCTTTTTTTTCTTCTTGTTCTTCTGTGTATTTACTTTCATCAAAGAAATATATCAAATGTAGTTTATCAGCTTAAAATATAAGCTATCAGATAGTCTAGCAATATGTTGGATTCTGTTTTTGTTTTGTCTTTTTCAGACAGGGTCTCCCAGTAGCTCCAGGTGGCCTAGAACTCACTATGTAGACTAGACTGGCCTTTAACTCAAAGATATCTACCTGCCTCATGAGTGCTGGGATTAAAGGCATGCACCACCACGCCTGGCTCAGGATTCTGTATTTTTTAGCATATTAAAGGAACTCAGTCTGAATCTAGTCAGGTACATTAAATTGTCTTTGGGAAAAAAAAGACTGAAGCTCTATTTTACTAATTCAAGTCATGGAAAGTTTCTCCAAATCCTTTACAATAGTTTAAGTGAAATTAATTACCTGATAATTATTTAGAACATTCTTTTTTTTCTTTGTGTGTGTGTGTGTGTGTGTGTGTGTGTGTGTCTAAATATGTGTGCTGTGTGTATGCACATGAAGGCCAGAGGCTAACATGTCTTTCTCAATCACTCTCTACTTTAATATTAATCACATAGGGACTCTCACTTGACCCTGGAGCTTGCCCATTCCACTAACTGACCTAGCCAGTTTGCTCCAAGATCCCTGTTTCTGCCTCTCAAGTGCTGGAATCACAGGCAGGTCACCACTCCTGCCCAACGTTTACCATTTACATGGGTGCTGAGGATCTGAACTTAAGTTAATCATGTTTGTAGAGCAAGTACTTTATCCACTGAGCCATCTCTCAAGCCTCAATTTAGACCATTCTAGAAGTTGATTCACAAAACAATTGTGGTAGTTTGAATGAAAATGACCCCCATAGGCTCCAAGTATTTGGACATTTTGTTCCCAGTTGGTGGTGCTGTTTTGGGAGGTCTTAGAAGGTGTGGCTATCCTGGAGGAAACACGTCACTGGGGGTGGGCTTAGAGAGTTCTTAAGCCTTGCTGGATTTCCAGTTGCTCTCTTGTTTCCTGTGTCTGCTTGATGATGTGAGAGCTTGAACTTCTGCTGCTCCAGCTCCAGCCACTGCTGGCCACCATGCCCCCCCCACCATGACAGACTGTAACTCCCCTGGAACTGTAAGCTCAAATAAACTCTTCCTTTTTTTTCCTTTTTTTTTTAAATTGTTTTATTTTTTAGAAGAAGCATTTCATTACAGCTTTAACAAACTCAATAACAATTTCCAGAGCAAAAATGCCTCCCTTTCAAAAGTAAGTGGCTATAAAACTTTTAGGCTCACAGTTGAATTAATACAGTTATACAATATTGAACTTAGTCTAAACCCTGTAAGACATAAAATTAAGTGAGTTTTTGACCTTTAAGAGAGATCTCCATTTCATTTTAAAATATATTGTTTCTATTTTTGCTAATAACACTTAAATGTTGGCGCATCCATCTCTAATCTGTATGTATCTGATTATTACTAGTCACGGTTGGTTGTACTCAGATCCTGTGTATGGATATAAAGTCATCGGGTAGA